AACTTTTTTCAATCACTCGTATTAGACATGGTCATTGCTGCAATTGACGAAATGAGGACGATGGAAATTTAAGTAACAACGTCACGTGTTTTTTACGAATTTTTCTCTGCGCACATCTCATTTATTAAAACAAAACTAATTGGTCAGTTTCATGAGGGATGCCTGATTGATGATCGGATTAATAATTAAAAGAATTGCGTCGACACTCGACTCGTTTATTTAATTCGGTCTTTATTATTTATTTGAACGATTTTTGCTCACGAGAAGATAACTCATGTTATTGTAATAGAAACGTAGAGATATTTTGGAAATTGTCGGCTATTCTGAATCTCGAAAGGTTTCACATAATATTTGCACAACTGTAATTTCTGCTGGTGCCACTGAATTTAATGACACGTGTCTCGAAATTCAAACCATAAAAGAGGAATATTCACAATAATAAAAAAATCTTATTTTTAACTATTATCAGGTTTGTTTGATTGTTCACACAGCTGCGTATTTTCTGGTACTGATTTTGCGTATATAAATGGTGAGTCCGATCCGAACTTTATACTAAGTGTAAAAAAGCATTGCGAGATGACGAACTCTGCGATTTTTGTCGTGCTCATTTGTACCTTGATGTCCTCTCTGATTGAGGCTAATTCCAACTACGATGGTAAATTTGAGTCCTGTTACAATTTTAACTACATGACCGTAGAGTGCAAGCTTTGGAATGCGTCTGCCGTGGTGAGAATCGTGAAGGGGCCATCTCAGCATTTCACTCTGCTGTTCAACACCGAAGATCATCCCCAGGAACTCAGGAAGTTGAATTTAACGGAAGGGGCATACAGCAATTTCCTACCTATAATCCAGGTCGTAATGACTGATGTCAACATGGACGGGGCATCGGGTCCTTTCATCAATCAGAGACACCTTCAATACGTACAGCTCTTCAACAACAGTCTTCAAGAATTTCCTCGAGACTTCTTCAGAGGTATTCCGAATCTGAGACAGCTTGAAATATACTACCAAAACTTCTCGACATTATCCAACCATCATTTATCCGAGATCTCGGAAAATTTGGAATTTCTGTCGTTGACGCGAAGTTCTGTGAAGAATATCGAAGCTGAGGCTTTTTCAAAGTTCCATCAACTGACCTATCTGAACTTGTCGTATAATTCGTTGACGGAGCTAAAACCTTGCATGTTCAATGGCCTCGACTCTTTGGTGAATCTTCATTTACAGGGAAATAAAATAACCACCATACGACCTGGAACTTTTGTAACCGTATTAAATCTCAGTGCATTGTCTTTGGACGGGAATCCATTGGATTCTCTACCCCAAAAAATTTTCACATATCTGGAGAATTTAGAATTTGTGACGTTTTCTGGCAATCAGAATGAAAATACGTGCAAGGCTCTTCTCAAGGGACTCAATCGCCTGACGTATGGATTTTGTGGAAGTATAGCTATCACGGGACCTTATAAAGAAGTGGCATGTGATTGTAGATGTTGAGGTTCGTTCTGCTAATTGACCGCCAGTCCTCTGCCCTTTTGGGAAAACCTTCAGGGCATAGCGATAAAATTGGCAAAATTTCGTTTCTCTATCAAATTTTTATTTGAATTTGAGATTATTTTAAATAAGTATCCAGTACAATATTGTGGAATATTTAGATATAGGTTTGTTTTATCAATTGTATTTGTTTTAATCCATGTCACCAAAAAAACATCTTCAAAATGATTATAAATTTCGCTTAGATATAATTACGTTAAGGTTGTTGTCGCGTAGATTTTTTTT